TAGAAACCCTATACAGGGTCTCAATGAGTCTGAATCAACTCTTTACAACAAGGGCACTTAACAACAACAACAGGTTGGCTAAGGGAGTGTGCATGGTGGCTCTTCAGGATAAGCACTGGACTGCAAACCACAAGGGCGATGGTTTGAACCCACCAGCAACAGAAAGATAAGTCTTTCTCCTCCTGCAAAGATTTACAGCCTCAGAAACCTTATACAGGGTTGCTGTGAATCCGAACTGACTTGACTGCACTCAACAACAACAACAACAAGATAGCTGAAGGAGACCTGGTGGCACTGTGGGGTAAGTACTGAACTGTTAATCCCAAGATCAGAAGTTCAAACCGACCAGCCACTCATTGGGAGAAAGATGAGACAGTCTTTTCCTGTAAGGTTTACAGCCTTGGAAACCCGACAGAGAGTCTTTGTGAGTCAGAACTGACTCAGCGGCAGTGGTGGCGTGAGGATGGCTAAGATGACGTAAAAACACAAATCAGCAAATGCTGGCGAGGATGTGGGGAAATTGGAAACGTTTTCCATTGCTGGTGGGAATGCAAAATGGTACAGCCTCTGTGGAAACCAATAAATGTCCTTGTTGTCATTGTGAAGTGCCAGCAAGTCAGTTCCAAGTCATAGCAGCTGGTGGGTTTGAACTGCCAACGTTGTGCTTCACAGTCCAGTGTTGATCCTCCAGCGCCACACCAGGAGTCCAGACCCGCCATATAACCCAGCAATCATCAAGACTTCATCTCTCCCACTGGCTGAGAAGTATTGCATTGTGTATGTGGACCACAATTCACTGATCCATTCATTTGTTGATGGGCATTTAGGTTGTTTCCAACCTTGGGCTATTGTGAAGAGTGTTTCGGTGAACATTATTGTATAAGTCTCTGGTTGCGGTTCTATTTCCAAGTCTTTGGGGTCACATACCTAGGCGAACTATCATATAATCCAGCAAATCCACTTATGTATGTTGTTGTTAAGTGCCTTCGAGTTCGTTCCAACTCATAGTGACCCTGTATAGGGTTTCCCAGGAGCAGCTGGTGAGCTTGAACCACCGACCTTGCAATTCAAACTTACCTTATAGTCCAGCACATTAACTAGCAGTGTCATACTATGATGGGTTGGTTAGTTATGTGCTGTGGAGTCGGTTCTGACTCATAACAACCCCAGGATTCCTGGGGCTGTAAGTCTTTATGGGAACAGAAAGCTACATCTTTCTTTCGCAGAACAGCTGGGAGTTTTGAACTCCTGACCTTGAGGTTAGCAGCCTGACTCATAGCCACTACACTATCAGATCTCTTTCCATCCCAGGATATATATATATATATATATATATATATATATATATGTATTCAGTGTTACTGAATTGTTTCGGGACCTGGTATGGATAAGTCCAGTACAGATAAGCAATGGACTATTAACTAAAAGGTTGGCATGGTGGCTCAACCCCACCAGCAACTCCCTGGAAAAGCTTTATAGGGTCACCATGATTCAGAATGGAAGTATGCACCTCCATTCTGGTGACTAGAGGGGATGCCTGAGTAAACAGACACCCACCCTCTCCCCTGGAGGGTTCTACTACGCATGCACACAGATCTTCTCAAAATTTAAAGTGACAGTTTCCACTTAAAACCAAACAGCCACCACAGTTTGTCATACTGTGGTGACTTGTGAGTTGCTATCATTCTGAAAGCTATGCCACGGGTATTTTAAATACCAGCAGGGTCACCCATTTTGGACAGGTTTCAGATGAGCTTCCAGACTAAGACAGACTAGGAAGAAAGAGTGGCAAACTACTTTGGAATATTTAGTCACTGAAAACCTTATGAATAGCAGAGAAACACTGTCAGCTATAGTGCCGGAAAATGAGCCCCTCAGGTTGGAAGGCACTCCAAATGCGACTCGGGAAGAGCTGACTCCTCAAAGTAGAGTTGACCGTGATGATGTGAATGGAGTAAAACCCACGGGAGAAAAGCCCGCAGGACCTTCATTTGCTGATTGGACACAACTCAGAATGAAGAGAAACAGCTGTAAACATCCATTGTCAGCTTGAGGACTAAGGTGCGCCTGACCCAAGCCATGGTATTTTCAGTAACCTCATATGGATGCGAAAGCTGGACAGTGAATAAGGAAGATCGTAGGAGAATTGATGCATTTGAGTTACGGTGTTGGAGGAGAATATTGAAAGTGTCACATGCTGACAGAAGAACCAATAGATCCATTTTGGAAGAAGTACAGCCAGAGTGCTCCTTGGAGGCCAAGATGGCCAAACTTCGTCCTCTCTCATACTTGTTGTCAGGAGGGACCAGTCACTGGAGAAGGATATCATGTTTGGTACGGTGGAAGGTCAGAGAAAAAGAGGAAGACCCCAAACTAGATGGATTGGCCAAGTGGCAGCATCAATGGACTCAACGTGGCAACAGTGGTCAAGTTGGCCCAGGATCGGGCAGTGTTTTGTTCTGCTGTGCATAAGTATAGTTTTGCTGCGTAAATCCTCAACAACAGCAAAATAAATAAAATTTAGAAGAAAAATACAAAATGTGTCACAAGGCCTTGTTTCTTGAGACCCCTCTAGGAGCACTCACGTTGCCAAACATGAGGTCCGCAGCCCAGGGACTTTAGAAGGAACAAGCATTGTAGAGTGAGTTTAGAGAGGTCAGATGGTGGGTGGGCTTAGAGCCTTCTGGAACACTCCTGTCTTCTTCAACTTAGGAGCTTCATACTGTTTGCATCCAGTTTGGCAGAGTGATGTGGCCATCAGGGGAAGCTAGCCGGAAAGGAGAGGTGGGCTCTGCAGAGCCCCCTGACAGGGAGACCAGTGCAGCCCTTGGAGGTTGAATTTCTGAGGGCCAAAGTGTAATTGCTCTTCCCTGAGTGAGCAGTAATTTCCCCATTCTAGGGGGTGATTGGCTGGGGTGAAGGAGAGTTCAGACATCAGGGGAGAGGCAAATAAATTGCCCCCTCCCTAGGAGCACCCCTTCCAAGTCACAGGGTTGCCACATGGGTGATTAAATGACCCAAGTGGCTTAATTGATCTGCCTAATTGCCCGATCTGCTTGTCCTTTGAAAACACAGAGCCTCATTTTGTGAGGATTCAAATGCCATATGTCTGCAACCCTTCCAGGACCCTGAATAATATTTTGCAAAACATAAATCAAGCCTTTATATTTCACCTCATAGAAGCACGGGACAACGCCACATCTAGTCCTGGAGAATTCGTGATCACATAATTAGATCTCCCAAGCTATTCCCCCACAGCTCTCATAGAGGGAAGAAATCATGACTCAGAGATGGAGTGGGTTTCGTTTGTTTTGTGAAGTTATTAACCCACCCAGAAAATGCTGCTAAGATTTATGAGTGCATTATATATTCAAGGCATATTTGGTGGTTGAGAATATCACTCTTTATTGTGTGTTTTGTGTTACTAAATGCCACAAGTTCTGGAGGCAGGAATAATTGCAGGGTGATGTGTGATTTTTCTTCAGACAAAGGAATGCAGAGATGACTGGGTCTGAATTGCATGGTGTTAGATGGAACACTTAGTATGAAGTAATAATGTCTGATGTCATGACCTGTGTCTTGCCATGTTACAAACCAAGCCCAGGTTACAAGTCACTATTCCCATGGTGTGTCATGTATTCCCTGTAATTAGTAAGGATGTGACTCTTCAAAATTACTAAAACAAATAGTTTTTATTAAAAAATACAGTTGCCATTAATTGAGACCCACAGTGGCCCCATGTCTGTCAGAGTAGAACTGTGTTCTCTGGGGTTCTCAATAGTTGTGATCTTTCAGATCATCAGACCTTTCCTTTGAGGCCTCTGGATGGATTCAAACCACCAACCTTTTGGTTAGTAGCCCAGGGCTTAACCATTTGTACCACCCAAGGCTTTCAGCAGGATTAATTGTAAGAGTGCTGTGTTTGTCAAATGGAAGAACTTTTTAAATGAAGATGCCTAACATCTTTAAGAAGCGCTTGAGCTGGAACAAGTCCACACGGAGGTGGATTTGTAGTTGTTTTCTAAATCCAGAAGCTTAGATGCTTAAACGTGCAAGTAAGGCACCCACGGCAGACAGATTGCAGTGGAGATGGGGAGCTGCTTGGCCTGGAGAGCTGGAGGAGAAATGGGCCCAGCTTTCTTTGTGTTGTCCTCTCCCCTGTAGTCTCACATGCAGCCCTCACTCTGGAAGGTCAAGGGACACCAAGTACGAGAAACAGAGCACCTGGTAGTAATGGTTCTGGGGTCACGATTAACCAGAGTCAAACAGGAAGCTTAGCTGCTAATTGTTCTGTGCCCTTGAGTTGACGCCAGTGCATGACAACCACATACAAATATGATTAAGTGACGGCGGGATGTTTGGGTGCATTGTTATGACTGTTCAGACTCTTAAGGACATGCAGTGGTGCCTAATAATTGGGGGTGGTATTCTTGAGGCTTCTTGAAGATTCTTTTGACAGATTTTTCTCTTGTTGTTGATGTTAAGTGCCGACCAGTCAGTTCCCACCCATAGAGACCTTTTATGGGGTTTCCGAGGAGCAGCTAGTAAGCTTGAACCATTGAATTTGCAGTTCAGACAACTCTGTAGTCCGGTGCCTTACCCCACAGTGCCACACCAGGACTACCATGGGTACCTAAACTCTTTAGAGTTCACTGACTGGGTTCATCGCAGCATAGAAAACTCAATCAAAGACCTGCACACATCCAGGCTCTCTGTGCGACCTTGGAAAAGACAAGTTAGCTGCTGCCCAGGGACAAGCTGTTTGGGGTAACAGCAGGGCCCCCTTGATCTCTTAGGCTATGGATGGATGGAAACACTTACAGTGTTGCTCCGTCTCCGTTTCTCAGTCCATGAAGTGGGGGATTCCGACTCTCCAGGTCTAGAGAGACTTCTTCAAAGTGAAAGGATGATGAGTCTGAGAAAAGAAACTGCACTGTGATTGAATTGCTGCTTGCAAACTAACAGCTCAATCCTGTTTTTCCTCCACTCCTGCACTCCAGCTGCCCACGCCTCAGCTCAGGCTCAGGACCGACCAACGGCCACAGTGTCACCTCTGCGCTCCCAGAACTCTCCATCCCGCCTGCCAGCTGCCAGCCTTAGGCCCCACTCTGGGGTCTCCCCACAGCACGTCCACCCAGCCCCGATCCAAGTGGTCCTTGGGGCCCAGTGCCCCCGGACCACCATCCCTCTCACATCAGCAGCATCAGCCATCACTCCACCCAACGTCAGCGCTGCCAACCTCAACGGGGAGGGCGGAGGCGGGCCCATCAGTGGCCTGTTGACTTCCAGCCCCACCAACACAGGATACAAAGCAGACGAGAAGAAAAACGAAAAGGTACGTGGCCCTTCTTGGCCCAGCTGGGTATCGTAACTCTTTGACACACATGCCTATAGCTTTAGATATTGCACAATTGGTAACAAAGCTCCAGTCCACAGATGCACCAGGTATGTAACAGAGATGGAGCTCAAATTAGGGAAGCAGTTCATCCTTGGAGTGGACTTCAGGGAGGCCTCGATTTCTTGACAGAGCCATCAAGTTAGAAAAAGTGTTCTCTTCCACAAGACACTGTTTTGGCAAATTCTTGCACTATATTTGATGTATTAGAATAGACACTTGTCTCCATATACCAGACTATTGTTCTGATAGCATACTGATGTACGTTTTACCTGGTGAATGGTACACCGCTCCCTCCCAATTTAGTTGTAGCATCGCTGTGCTGTCCACAGCCTGTTCAACCATATAGGATGGCCCTGTTTCCTGAGGAAAAACAAAGACACTGGCAACTCGCTAGGTGGTATGGGCAATATTTCTAGCTGTGGAGTTGGGCTTTTTTCAGATGAAAATCTGAATTCATGAATTTTCCTTGATTGTTACTCAGCTAGATATTGGATTGTTGTTGTTGTTGCTAAGGGCCATCAAGTTGGTTCCGACTCATAGAGAACCTGCAAAGGGTTTCTGAGGAGCGACTGGTGAGTTTGAACCACAGACCTCACGGTCCTGAGCTTTATCCCGCAGCATCACCCCAGGACTCCAGATATTGGATTAGTCAGGATTAGAATCCGTATTTGTTAATCAATACAGTTCCATAGCAATATAAGACAAACCTTTCACATGCAATTTAAAATTGTCTAGTAAGCTCATTTTCAAAAATAAAATTAATATAAAAATCAAATTAAAAGGTGAAATTAATTTTAATACCATGCTATTAAACCAAATATATCCAAAATGTTATTATTTCAGTATACGAGAGTGAGTGAAAAATTATCCACACTCTAGCTATAGAATCTATTTTAATCAACTTTTAGAAAAGACAAATACATCATTGTTTGACATAAACGCCTTACTTTTTAATACACTTGATCCATCTGTCAACAAGCTTTCATATCCGCTTATTAAAAAATGTTTTAGGCTGAGCTGCGAGCCACGAATGCACCACTGTCTTCACTTCGTCATCAGAGGTGAATCTCCATCCTTGAAGGGCTGCTTTCAGGGGGTCACACAGGTGAAACTCTGATGGAGCAAGATCAGGACGATAGGGAGCATGCTTTAACATCTCACAGTGAAGGTTTAGCAAAGTGTCAACAGTGTGGGCAGAGGGGTGCGGACTTGCACTATCGTGCAAAATCTCAACACCCTTGGAGAGCAGTCCTCTGTGTTTAATCCGAAGTTTAGACTTCAGCTCTTCAGTGAGAAGCTCACTGTAAGGAGCACTGTTGATCGTTGAACCTTTTCCTCCATCAGCGTTCCAATACTGGCCCTTAAGAATCTCAGGAAACTGTAAGCATCAATTTTCCAGCTGATGGTTGACTTTTGAACTTTTTCTTGGTCAGCGATTGAGGATGTTTCCATTCTAACCTCTCCCATTTACTTTCAGACTCATAGTTATAAAATCCATGTCTCGTCACTTGTAATAACTTTTTTAAAGAAATTTTTACCTTCCTTTGAGTATCAGTCCAAATTTTGTTTGCAGATGTCCAAATGCTTGTTTATGTTTTGGTACCCCCATTCTGTCATGGATTATTTAATAAGCAGAGCCTTAGCTGATTTGAAAATGATTTGCAGATGAACCCACTGTCTCTCATCTATTTGACAAAATGATTTCACGTGCACGCTCAATGTTGTCATCAGCTATGGATGTGGATGGGCATTTTAATATGACCAGAGCACGGATAAATTTTGACTCTCCCTTGTACACGCTATACAAAACAATTATTAATGAGATCTGTTACCTTTTTTCCAATTTGAAGTTCAAAATGCATATTTTACACTTATCCACATGTCAAACCAGACTGATGCCAGGGGCTGGCCTAGGCTGCCATATTGGAGAGTGGACAGCCAGATCTTCCACTCGGAACCATTCTGTTTATTGGCCTTGCTGGGTGAGCACTTTAGCTACCATTATCCTTGTCTTTCTGTCTGGATGGTGCAGTCAGTGAACTAGACTGTTAACCAAGAGGTTAGAGGTTCAAGTCCACCCAGAGGCATGTTAGAAGAAAGAGCTGGTGAACTTTAACATCAGCCACTGAGAACACTGTGGAACGCAGCTCTACTCAGATACCCACAGGCTCACCGTGGGTCAGAATTGATGTGGTGGTACCTGCTTGTTTATCCTCATGGTTACTATTTTCTATGGATCTTTTAAAATATGTTTATCGAAAAATTAATCTTGCTTAGGCATTATTTGTTATGACTTATGAAGGAGATCCGGTAGCATAGTGATTACCAGTCAGACTGCTAATCTTAAGGTCAGAGGTTCGAAACTACCAGTGGTTCTGTGGGGGAAAAGATGAGGCTTTCTGCTCCTGTAAAAATTTACAGCCTCAGAAACCCTATACAGGGTTGTTATGTGTCGGAACCGACTGCACAGTACACAACCACCACCACCATTCAGGATTAACGATGTATTTGGGGCAAGATCAGCTCGACACATCTCCCTCTCCCATGGGTATAATACCAAAGCCCGTGTTGACTCCTCAGACATCTTCCGAGAAGTCCTGGGGAGAGGCCCAGCTGGCTCCTTGCCCTCTTCCTCAGCGTGTCCCAAGATGAACCCAGGTACATCCCTGAGATGTGCCCAACCCAAACTACCTGGAGCCTTTGTCTTGGGTTTGACTTGACTCTTAGGTCTCATCACTTCCTGTGTGGTCTAGGGGACTTGTTTCTTATGTTCCCTGGGTGGGGAGAAGGTTCCATTCGGGTTACTGCTGGACCTTAGCAGTAAATGCTTGGGAGACTCCTGTTGATTGCACTTCTTGGAGACCAGCAGATGCTTGGGCACGAAGTGAACTGGATGTTCTGTATACTGAGCCGGTGTCTACTTGAAAATCAGTTAGTTCTGGAATCTGTCCCTTTCTACTTTTCAGTCCTTGCCTGAAATGTAGCTGACTGTTCTCAGGAGGCAGACGTGGAGGTTAGAGACCTGACCTCTGACTCGGACACTCCTTCCTGGAAAACAAGATCTTATGAACCTTCCAAGCAGCTGAGAAAAACAAAACAAAGCAGAGAATCAGATTTGTAAATTGTGGGGGCCATCAATAGTTATGTAAACATTTCTAGTTCTTTCCCCACCCCCTCAAAAATCCCTTTCTCTAGTTTGTAAAACAGACAGGACGGGCTTTAAGATGACTCATTACTGAATGGGACATCAGTGGCATAGATTCTGGCTTTTAGGAACAATTGTTCACCGTCTTTGTCTTCCTATGTGCGTTATAGGAGAGGTGATGTTGGTGTAAAGTGACATTAAGTTGGTTCTGACTCATCAAAACCCTGTATAAGGTTTCCAAGGAGCAATGGGTGGGTTTGAACTGTCGACCTTGTGGCTAACAGTCCCGTGTGTACACTGCAGCATTCCACCAAGACTCCTTAGTGGGTAACTAATGAAAACCAGGCTGGGGGGGGGGGGTCTGCTTTCAACATTCCCAGTCTGTTAGAAACAGCAAGGATTTTGCTATCACCCAAGGTTTGTACTCTGCTAACAAACTCTATGCATCAGCAAAGAACGCCCAGAGAATCGCCCTTGATTAAAAGCGAGTTGGAAGGGAGCCCTTGCTCTTAGGTGGAATGTCTGTCACAAACTTGACAACTGAGCGTCCTTTTTAACTGACAGAATGCTTCCTCTGAAAGTCCCCTGAGCTGGCCCCTAGCTACCGACGTGGACAGGACCACAGCGCCAGTCTGATATCCAGCCCAGCTCTGAGTTAGGCACACACTATGCACAAGGGAAAGAAATTCATGCTCTTCCGAGTAGGAAATTGGAGTGGCCGTCCAGTGAGCTTGTGTTAATAGACATGACAAGGCCCAAACCCCCAGCAGAGAAGTCCACCTGTGGTTTGGTGGTTTTCATTTCTCACCTCTTGAATTAAAAAACAACAACATTGATCTAAGAAACCACCTGTTAATGTTTTTATCTTCCATATCCCCAGTTGAGTTGTTCCTAATTTACAGAAAGGTGTAAAATGTCCACGGTTTCCATTTTTAGCACAAGAGCCATGATGATCATCACTGAAATCCTGTTGCTTATAAGCAAACGGATGTGTTTGATTGGAGCCAGCAGCCCCAGGCTTAGCTCTGCCTGTCATCGTGTTGGCAGGAACTGGGGAAGGCTCTCGGAGATGCCCTCCCCCTATCCCACCATGACCATAATTGAACAGATTTTACTAACTTTAAAAACACAGTTGTCCACATGTATTTCTACGTAGCCCTATCTTAGGTGTACACGTGTCTAATTATAGCGAAAGTATTTTTAAATTCGTGTTTGGCCCTGCTCTCAGGGCTGTGTGTGTAATTGCATTTTCCTAGGGAAAAGACAATGAGCTCTCCAGCTCTCCTGTCTACTGAGACCCAAACCTCAGTGTGCTGTGTTTCCCTAGCACCGATCTCAGCTGAAATTGGATCCAGGCATTTCCAAACATGTGTGAGAGAGCACACAGTGATTCATCGGGCTTCTGGACACCGTGAGGGAGGGGTTGCAGACTGTCAGCTTTCCTTCCAGGGCCCTGGGAGATTTCTGCTCAGGTATCCCTTGGGTGTGGAGATGGAGAGTCCTCCAACCTAGCTCATGCTGGATCTATTCCTGTTGTAGAGATTGCCGGAAGACTAGCTCTCTGCCTTCATAGACCCCTGGTGATTAGGTTCTTTCAGCCTGCTCCAGGCATCTCTTGCAAATCAGCCCTGCTTGGCTAAATATACAGTTCCTGGGTGGTGCAAAGTGCACTTGACTGCTAGCCAGAGGTTGGTGATTCCAATTTACCTCATGTTCCCATAAAGATAACCCTGTGAGGGACTTCTAGTCTATAACACATGGAGTCGCCATGAGTTGGAACCGTCTTGACGGC